AGCAGTGATAATGATGTAAAAAAAATAACACTGCCAACGCACACACAACAGAACCAATTCGAATTGCAATCCATGTATGCATACATGTAGAATATTATAGAGTACACAGTCAAAGAAAGACACACGAAATCATACAAGCATTTTTCGTATAGACACATTGTATGTGATACAGAGTATAGAATTAATCAACTTTTAACATTGAGAAAATTATATACAATAACGTGAATTAGAGTAATAAATCTACCAAAAAACTTAGAATTAAATATATCTACTATTGCTTCAGCACACAAAATGACCAGCATACAACTCGATTATAATGATAATATAGATTTATTGCACTTCTGTTATTTTTGATAATACAACATGAAATGATATCACATTTATTAATCACAATAAAGCAAACACAGTGAAGCGATAATTAGTCCAATTAGCAAAGAGAAAACAAGGATTAGAGAATTTCACCTTACTACTTGGAATTCATCTACCGGATACGAGAAGGCTATGAGACACCCTGATTGTGTGCAGGCTGATGATACTAACCAGTTGCTCGGACTGGAGTGTGGTCAAGTGGGGCGAGATTCGAACCAGTGGCTCATCAGCTAGAAGTCGAGTGCTTCAGCCGACGAACAACATCTTCATGTTTGAAGATTTAATACTTGATAGTCAATCAATCAGTCATGAAGTCTGCGCTGTCAGTCATCTTATAAATCACCAGCCATACACATTCTACTGGCATCAATAGTTCTGGGTAGTAAATAAAACCAATATGATCCATTGAGAAACGGTTTTCTTCAGAGCATTAAGTAAATTGTATCTTAATCAAGAACAACAAATCTGAAGACCTCTTCATTTCACTAAAAGGATTGACTCTGCCGTGTTCATTGACTTTCTTTCATACGGTAGCCTGATTTTGTTTACAGTTAGTTATTGTTTTATTGCATTTATAAGTTTTGAAAACGCCAGTTACACCATTAATTGAATTCCTGAAAGAGTTAGTTTTCTGGCTTTTTTTGTTTGTTTCTTCATACAATTCTTCCTATTAGGAAACTTGATCAGAGTAAGAATAAGAATTATGTAGCAGGAAAATATGGACTCAGTTTTACTACTCTACAAATTCTTTTCAGGAGCTAACAACAGTCTGAACAGTACAAAGGTAGATGAACTATTAAAATGTCTGAACACACTTTTATATTGTCGACGAGTTATTGATAAGATTAAAACTAGTGGATGAGGTACAACAAATTCAACTAAAATTTCAACTTTTTGTTGTTACTAATCAGTGTAGCGTATCACTAAATCCAGTCTGCAGTTATGTCAAAAGATCAAACCGGTGTTAAGAAAACTAAGGATGACTTTGTTATTATTTTTCAGCCAGACAACGGCTCTTGTATAGTTAATAATGCAATGAGCTAAGCATACAAGAAATCAACTTAATTCTCAGTAAAAACAAAAAAACTTAGTAAACTGCTCATCCGAAAAACATCGCCCAACCAGTGGAAAAGTGAAATATATAACAAAATTAAAACACTTAGCAAAGAATTTAACTGACAAGAGGACATACTATGGACTGAAACTTCGGAAACCTATATTACCCTTCCTATAAAGGTAACCAAAGGTTAAGGGGTACATAAAGTCGATGTTCCAATGAAACCAATACTACCTACAGTTAATTAAGTGACACACAAAGTAGGTCGGTAGCCAGCGAAACATCTGTCAATAATTCCTGTCAAATTGACTGATCAGAGTTTGAAGGACACCTTTCAATCGGCTTATATGTTAGGGAATTTGAACATCTCAACTAAAATTCATAGTTTCGTTTGATATGTTGCCCTTATTTACAAAGATCATACTCGAGGAGACTATACAAAGTTATATGTGAATATTCTCAACTTTTTCCATTGTCAAAAAATGAACTTAAGCACCAACTTAACATTGAACTCAGAGCTGCAGATATTGTCTAGGACAATAAAAGCTTGGCAATTAAATCACCCAATTCAGAAAACAGACCGAATTCAATGATGTTTTATGTCGTCCAATGGATGAATTAGCTATGACAAGTTCATTGGGTTCGTCATTTTCATGGGAAACATGGAGCAAACAAGAATGAATTCTAAGTCAATCGGACAGACTTCTATAACAGTGATGTCAATGACACATTTTTTTTATCTGAGTGTTGTAATGATGCAGCATAGATATTGATTCCCTTGCATAACGCACACACCAATATAAAATTTAACGCTGGAACATGAGCGTTTCATTTTACCAACGTGTTAAAGGCGGTAAAACTAAGATACATCCATAGAAAAGAAACGTGAAGGTTACACTATCTGAACTTCAGAAGATTCTGTCCTATATAGTACAGTTAAGGATAGGTTAGAATACTGTTCAGCTTTGAACAAAGGAATAACTCGTAAAAGTTATTTATTATGGTGAAGTGTATGAGTGTTAGTGGTTATCCGTAGAAGCTTATCGACAAACACAGAAAATCTAGTATGCAAAAGTCGAAATGCAGGACAGTGAAGAAAAAGATTATTTGCAAAGGTAATGATACTGTCAGTAGAATAAGATGTAGACAGAACGCTTCACCAAAAAAAGAACATACCAGCTGTCAAGCTAGTCTGTTTGTTTTACATGGATTATTGTTTAACACAATCGCAAGTGAAAAAATTCCCGCCTCACGTCTCCACCTACTGAATCTACAAATTTACAAATATCAAAGAGTATACACTAGAAGAATAGAGAGAAAGGTGGTTAGTGTTAGCATTTTTGAACACGTCTTGTAGTACTTGAGACTTAGAAGGGTGAAAGGTACTAAATAGTATGGCTGAATATACTTTTACGGACAGTGATTATATTGTGGACAGTGTGAAGGTGTTCTAAGTAATCAACAGACAAAAGAAGATACGACAAACATATTGTGTTTCTCTGGGACGATCGTTATCAAACAGTTAGGCACGAATTTTTGGTCATTATATTCACAAAACAAAGTAATACGATTTTATCATGTCATTTAGTCTTCTACATCATCGTTTCCGTATCAAATTTTTTTTGTAGCTGAACGTCACTCACCTTACTCTTCTGGTTATTGTGAACTATTCTTCGTGGTTACGTAACCCACCATACTAACATAATGTTTCTAATCAGACTTTGTTTCTATCTACATTCTGAACTTTCCCATTTTTTTGTTTCCCTGGGGAATATTTGTCTAATCATCCTACGAATAGTCAAAGGTTTTAAAACTTAATAATTTATTTGCTGACATTATTCCAGACTTGCATTAAATATAGATCCTGTTAATAATTAGTTGTCAGCCTGACAAAAGTATTTCCAAATGATGGTATGTAGGGATCTGAGTGATTTCAAGTCAGATCTCAAGCTGATATGAATTAGAGAACCACTTAAAACTAGGGGATATTGGACGGCTGTTTTGTCCTGGTTCAAACCTTTTCAGAAGTATGCATCCCTGACGACGACTCTGTATATTGCGAATGCACAGAAGTTAGAACTCATCAGCTATTGGATTTCGCTGTAGCATCTGAATCGTTTCATAATCAGAAGGAACTGAGGTTCGGTCGCCGGTGATTCTACAACTGTGCAATGACGAAGACTACCAAAATAGCTAATCAGTACACTTTAGCTTTCAACGGTTCTCTAACCAATGTTAGCTCATGATCTGGCATGATAAAGACATGTCCAGGTTCAGGTTGTATGCAATTGAAAGGAATCCGCGGAATAATATAAAGTGAGCCCGTGTTCCCTTGCTACATAATTGTTGTTCGTAGTTTGTTCAAGACCCATTATCCTCTGAACTTAACGCTGATTCTACAGATTCTGCACCACAGATGAAATCTGCCTTTAAATGTAATAAGAATGATGCAACAACAATACCAAAGATATGGAAAATATTACTGTAGTTAAAATGAAAGAACGACAAATAAGAAAACATCACAAGCACATTCAGGAAGTCATGCAAATACCAGAAGTCTTCTTAGGAGTCACAAATTATTCCACTATGGAATCACTTCTACAAATCAGCTAGGTTATTGTGAAATGGTTCCGTGTTTAAAAATACTTCTTTTTAAATGCTGTTTGACATTCACCTTATTAGTAAAATACTACTACTATTACATATGTTACTAATATCATTGACCTCAATAAAAGGACGCAACCGTATACAATTTTTAACGTTTATTTAATTCACAACACTTCAATCAATTGGCTGCATGCTGTACAACACGCAACTTCAGAACAAGGTTCGTTTATATTCCAAAAAGAATAGACAAACAGTTATGTGAAGAAAATTACACATAAACGTCATTATGTGGTAATGATGAGGCTATGTAGCTAGTTAATTGGTATAATTTGGATAATATGAGTTATTAGATTGCAGCTCATTGGTTTAAGTGTGGCAGTGATATAAATGAACTTGCTAGTTCTAGGCCTGATTTTCAGTGGGATAAGAGGTTTCACAGTGCCGGTGAAGATAAGGTACATTGACCTAAGCAGTTCACCTTTAGCCAATAGATCACAATTTTCTTTTTAAGAGGAAACATAATCGTCTAAGTAAAATGTATGAAGTCTCATTAAGTTATTTCCCAAAATAGGTTTTGAATGGTTTCAGGTACTGGTTTTGTAAAGATTTTTGTTTGATTGGTTGAAGGATTTCATCATGAGCTGACATCAGTTGGGTTATAATTGCAAAACATAGGAGTACTGGACAGCTTTTGCATACAAGTTTGAGACTCCTCATCAGTATGCACCCACCGAGTCATGAAATGGCAGAAGTTAGAATTCATGGACCACTGGATCGAGTCCCAGTGGCTTAATGGTCTACGAGCTAGCTCGCCTAGTGATAAGGAGGTCCTGGGTTCGAACCCCGGTGGGTGCGTACTGATGAAGAGTACCGAACTAGGGTGAAACGGCTGACTTAAGATAAATACACAACAGAAGTGTATAAAACAAAACACGAAAAATTATAGAACAGATTATCAAGTAATTACCTGCAATCCGACACTAAAAGCAGCCAGAAAAGGAGTCCACGCCAATTTGAACATTGGTCGAACATGTTCACAGTGAGTTGCACAAGTAAACTCAGATGGGCTGGATATGGCCTAGAATTTTAAATTACAAATCACAAAAAATTATCATCGTCATTATTGGAGTTAAGATAGGTTTTTTCATTATATCATTTTTTCCTGTTTCGACATTTTCATTATAAGTCTTAAACCATTTAATTAATAGTGGCGGTGTATAAAACGAAGACATTGTGAACAAAAAGGTTCACGTGATTTATTTCTTCACATTAGTCATAGTACAAAAATTATACTAAATACATAAGTACATTGTGCTAAACTGTCATTGACACACATGACAAAAATTGAACAAACAGTAGTCCATGATATTGAAATTCAAATTACGCTTGAAGTGAAATCAATCATGAAAGATATATTAAAACAGTGAGCAATATATGGAGTTAAATTAAATAGATTTTAAACCTTTTGCCATGAGTGCCAATAAAAAGGTAGTGACAGGGTAGTCAGAGTTGAGTAAGTAACTCAAGTTCTTAAAAGTTCTACAGGTCAATATGACAAGTACTAACAGCTAAGGGCGTCCAATAAATTGTCTAACTATTTGAATTGAAACACAATCTTTTGGACACATAAAATATCAGCTATAATGATGATTAAAACTTTTAGATTTACTGAGTATTGGAGAATGTATACTACACATTGGCACCAAGATGCAGAGGACTACTTCTTGTAACGCAGTCCAGGACAGCCTAAGGTATTCCTTTAACGAAACATTGAGTTATTAGAATAAATCCGATAAACCACGTATACAAAGGATCACATATACACATTTAGATCACAGTCAACTGATCAACAATTAGACATAAATAAAGTTTATAACAAACAAAAGTTTATAACATGATTAACTCATAAGTTAAAAATTACATATCAAGATAATGATAACAAAGCAGCTGTACTTACAGGATCACCTAGAACTTCACTATCACCTGCTTGCCGTCGACCATCTAGTTTAGAACTAAGTTCATTAGATGCAAAACCTTGACTTAGTTTAATCACATCGTCCTCTGCTCTTAATTTTAATCCAGCATTTGCAATTTCATCATAAATTTGGGCCAAATAAGATTCAGGTAAGTCTTGACTATCATTAATACCACGATTTATACGTATATAATCATCCTTTAAAAGTAGTAAAACAACATAATAATAATAATAATCAATAAGCTCTTAATTCTTTTAACTGCAATTCTATCTTAATACTGACGCTATTATTATCAACCAGCATAACAAACGTTTTGTTTTTTCGAACATAACTCATTTCACAAATGCTAAATACGTTTCTCTTATGTGACTAATGTCTCTTCGTATTATCACTGAGGTACAACGACTGACAATCTAGAGACGCCAGTAACGCATAGCAAGGAACTTTCAAAAACAGCTTAGCTGGCTCTCGACGTCCGCCGTAATTGATCCATGACTGACAACAACCCATGTATGCTTTCTCAGTCATCCTCGAGGGTAAAGCGTTAGTGATAATCGAAAATTTGTGTACACTTAGGTAGCTGTGTGAGCACTTAACATGTGATGTAACGGATGAAATCTTCAGTCATATGTGAAAGTTATAGCAACATACATTAATCTAGGTCACTGTCGGAGTCGTCATGATGTTAGTCTGGACGTCGAATATCAGCTTTACAACGCTTCAGTGTACATAGTCTCACTCTAACCCTTGCAAGATTGGGATGTGCAACGACTTTTTGTATTCAACCATCAATGAGGAGCGAAAGCTGCACAAGAGGAAACTTACGAAAAGTCTCCGCAAGGACCGTGAACAGTGGTGGGCGACAAAAGCCAAAGAGATGGAGAAAGCTTTGAGGATAGGCAACACCAGGCAACTCTTTGGACTCATCAGGGAAACGGGTGGGAGCATTATGAGGAGCAGTTTAATTGGCCCACAGCCACGCCCAACCTTCCGAGCATCCAACACCTCCCTGAATGGGATATAGACACAGGTCCTCCGTCACTAACTGAGGTTACTAAAGCTGTCACCAATCTGAAACTAGGCAAACCAGCAGGACCTGATGGAATGATGCCAGAGGTATTTAAGTACGGTGGAGACAGCTTACTGTCCGGATTAACTGAGGTACTAGGCAGCGTTTGGGAATCAGAAGAAGTCCCATCGGGTTGGTGTAAGTCACTGATTATCCCCATATACAAGGAGGGAGACAAGTCTTCCTGTGATAATCACAGAGGGATTAGCTTGACTAATATAGTATCTAAAGTCTTAGGCTCAATAATCATGCGTAGACTGAGTGGTGCTCGGGAAGCACAAACACGAGAGAGCCAGGAAGGCTTTAGACCAGGAAGAGGGTGTATTGATCATATCTTCACCCTCCGACAGATTCTAGAACATAGGCATTCCTACCGGCGTCCAACAGTCATTATATTTCTTGACCTAAAGGCAGCATTCGACTCTGTCGATCGGGAAGTTCTCTGGAGATGCTTGGCTGTAAAGGGAATTCCAAGAAAATATATTGCACTGATTAAGGCACTCTATTCGTACTCATACAGCCAGGTGAGGGCTTACGGCGAGCTGTCATCTGAACTGATGACGACCAGTGGTGTCCGTCAAGGATGCCCATTATCTCCTTTTCTATTCAACTTCATCATAGATGTGTTAATGGACTTAACCCTAGGTGACTTCAGTGACTCAGGGATTGACTTGCTACCGGGGAATAATCTCGTTGACTTGGAATATGCAGACGATATAGTCCTTCTAGGCGAAGACGCTGACAAAATGCAGAGTCTTCTAAACACCTTGAGCCGCAATCTACGAATGTTTGGCATGCGATTCGCTCCCGCCAAATGCAAGATGATGTTACAGGACTGGACTACATCGACGCCTAGTTTAAAAATAGGAAGTGAAGTGGTAGAGCACGTTGACCGCTTCACTTATTTGGGAAGTACCATCAGCCACCAACGGGTTGATCTCTGACGAAATCTCAGCACGAATACAAGGGGCCCGTTTCGCATTTGTTAGTTTACGCCGACTCTGGCGTAGACGAGATGTTCGACTAACGACCAAAGGTCGGGTGTACTGCTCATCAGTCCGCTCCGTCCTCCTTTATGGTTGTGAGACCTGGCCACTGAGAGTGGAAGACATGAAAAGACTAGCTGTCTTTGATCATAGGTGCCTGCGTTCTATTTCCCGTGTAAAGTGGCATAATAAGGTGAGCAACATTGAGGTTAGGCGTCGAGTTCTAGGTAAACAGGGGAAATCAATCGACGAAGTCGTGAAGCTACAAAGACTGAGATGGTTAGGACATGTGTTACGTATGCCAAACCATCGCCCCCCTCGACGAGCTATGTTAGCGGATATAGGGTCAGGCTGGAAAAAAGCTAGCGGCGGTCAAACAAAAACTTGGCATCAGTCTATGAAATCCACAACAGTTGGTCTAAGCCACGTAGAAAGGTGTAGACTTCCAGGCTGGGGTCCTCGGGACGGTAAAAATCTATGGTTGGAAACAATTGGTGACATGGCTCAAAATCGTTCTCAGTGGCGCAGATGCATCCACTCCCTGTGACTTATGATCTTCAATGAAACTGTTTTGTATTTCTTTATTACTCCTTTGTCTCACACCTCTGCTCACTGTTTCTATTATGCTTTTCTTGTACTTTCTTCTCTTGCTTCGCGTGCTACACGGAATGTGGCGACTTGAACTTCCGCACATTTGTGCAAAGTTCTATGTCGAAAACAGACAGACAGACATTCAACCATCAATCTAGTCACCCGATTGCCTGCTCTTGATGGCGGACATACAATTGCTACGTGTAAGTAATTCTGCAATTCAAAAGTGTGCTTGAACCATCTTTTGTTAGGTATTATCATTTTTGAACACCAGCTTTGGTAGTTTGGAAGAGTGCTACGAATATTGTGCCAGAAGCTTGAATACGGGTGAAGAGAGTAGAAACTTTTCCAGTCTGTGAGATGAACATCAGCATTAGGTTAGTATCTATTGATGTATCATAACTTCTCAGATGGGGTTCAAGAGATCTACGACTCAGTGGCCTAATAAGTTATTAGAAGAGATTTGGAATAGAAATTAGCGGCAAACATGCTGTTGTCTCATTTTACCTTCTACTTGCAAATGTATTATACGAACGCTGACATAAATGTACTTGACAAGTATGTTTACCTGTTTGTATTCCGCTTTTCTTTATTTTACATCCTTTTTTTGATTGTTTGATTATATAATGTAGAGCAAATTTTATTGCCCATACTGTACTAAGTATGTATGAATACCAATAATGACAAACATCTTTGTTGTGAGATCTGAAGGTCCTGAACATCTGGAGGGATTTCGCTATTTGACAGCGCTAAATTAGGAAAACAACATTGTTCAATGTTCCTTGGTTTTCAGTGAATCTCACTGGGTGATATCAATCCATCGTGAAAAGTAATTAAAAATAATGTACACCAAAAATCAAAATCATCCAGAATGATGGAAAGCAAACAAGCCATAGCTTAAAGGTTAAACAGATAACTTTGTGTGGTAGATCTGCGATAAGCTGATGTGTTTAATAATTCGATAATATAACAGTAATCAAGAACACAAACTACGAATAACCAGATAAGTCTATCAATTGATTCATGAGTAGATAAGCAGGTTTTTTTTGGAGTGGACAGAAACTTATCTACTGATGATTCCAAATGTCTTATCAGTATAAACACACTGCCATCCTAAATTTGAATGTATGGTGTTTAATGGACATTCGAAAAACCATCTAAGTTTTGTACCAATGTGCAAAAAAAAGGAAATTTCACTGCATCTCTACAGATGAGAAGCTACCGCATATGCACTGAAAATGCATTGAAAAAGGAACTGGAATCCTTCAGAAAAACTCTAACCAAAAATGGATGTCCAACTTCTTTCATCGACAGACATCTAAAGAGAAAGACCATTACTCCTCGAGAATTGGATTTGTCGAAGAAACAACTGAGGGAGATACAGTTAGTGAGGTTTTTCGAAACCACCTGTTGAGAGCATTCCGTCTACCATTCAAATTTTTTCACTTCAAGATCATTGCTGCAATACACATAATCGATTCAGATTATCAGTTTTTTAAACCAATTTAAAGTCGCAATCGACCAGGGAAGCAATAATATCATACTCGCTTAAATTTTCGGGGACAATTTATAGTATAATAGTGTAACAGTAAAACAGTTTGATAAGTATTCAGAGTATTATAATACTGCTCCCTTGGGTGGAACATAAGGCTTCAACTGAAGCCATTCTCCACTTTGTCCTATTTTCTACGGTCCTCCCTAGCTAGTCTCAAGATCACCCATAGTCTCTCATCTTCTCGTACGATCTCCTCCACGTCACACTCGAATGCCCAACTCCATGTTTCCCATTCGAGTTTCACTGCAAACCCTGGAGTGCGACGTCATTCGACGGTCCCCTCAGTGTGTGTCCCATCCATCTCAATTTTCTTCTGCATACTTGTTGAGCAATAGGTTGTTGCTTGTTGATTCAATCCCAGAGCTTCATGTTGCTAATTTTTTTTTATTCACTATGGAGTCAGAGAAAAAAGCTGTTGATAAAAGTCTACAATCTGTTGGAAATGCTTTTCGTGATGCGTGACGCGTGACACATATGGAAGAACTGAGTGACTTAACATTTGTGTTGAAAATCCAAATTTTGTTGCTTATGTGGAGTGCTGAAGGTCTGTCTTTCCCATTCTGACCGTCTTTGACATCTTCATCCGTTCCTCCTTTGGTTGAAACGACGCTTCTCCAGATAGGACATCAATATCTGGAAAGGTAGACACTCATGACACATTTGAACACAAATGAAATTAATTATTCTTGAGGATGATACTGGTCGGCGTCCCCTCTGATGACAATTTGCCAAGCAACTACATAAAATTTCAAAGGAATCCTGACATGGTGTAAGGTGTACAGAGACAAAAACTGTTACAAGCCTTCTGAAGTTCCCCTGAAGAATGCAACAACATTTATTCTGATATTCCAGAACTTCAGCTGCTACTGGACTCCAAAGAACTTACGTCAATATGATTTTAGTGAGTTTATTAAACAAGCTGAGTCACAACACGGTAATTATCACAATACTTTCGAAGTTACTGTAGGCTGTAATGACTGGGTGAACATACAAGGTTCAGTACTTGATACAACTATAGCCCAACACAAAAACTGACGTAAAGCACCTAAAAATAGATTTACATACAAAGTTAATAAGAGGCACTGAGAGGATGCTGAAAAACTAGCAAACAACTCACTTTACTCATACGATGATGTGCTTTAATTTGGGAACTATGTAAATCAGTTGTGAGCATGATAATTGAGAAAGCCAAAACATAAGCAGTATCTGCTGAGACAAACAAATCATTACTCGGATTACAAGCATAATAACGCGCCGCAAATTTCTCCATAAGTCGATCAATTTTTTGTGCTTCACCAGGTAAACGGAATTCTGACAAGAATTCTCTTTAAATTAAAACAAAAACACAAAAGTTTGTTACAGGAAGTGAGGACTATTTAGGAATTAAAGTATTATTCATTATCATCATCATTTCTTACTTATCACACAACTATTGGAAACCATCGAAGATCTAAGAACAATTATTCCACTTTAAGTGATGGAAAGTTTTTTGAAAACATGTACCTATGCATATTTAAGTATTGGTTTGTAGGGATTTGATTGGTTTCAGGATTTCATCATGAGCTGACATTACTTAGAGAACCATTGGAAAACCTGGGAGTACTGGACACCTGTTTCGTCCTAGTTTGCGACTCTTCATCAGTACGCACCCACCGGGATTCTAACCCAGGACCTTCTGGCTACAAGGCGAGCTCGTATACCATTAAGCCACTGGGACACGATCCAATGGTCCTTGAATTCTAACTTCTGCCAATTCACGACATAGCGCGACCGCTAGCCAATGTCTTCGGCGAGTATTTGTCCTCACACCCGCTGCTCACTGGCGACTGGCCCTATTCAGGTAGGTAGTTGCCTGGGTTCCAGTGGGAAATCGTGACCGCTAGGGTGCAGCGGGTCGGGTGTGAGGACAAATACTCGCCGAAGACATTGGCTAGCGGTCGCGCTATGTCGTGAATTGGCAGAAGTTAGAATTCAAGGACCATTGGATCGTGTCCCAGTGGCTTAATGGTATACGAGCTCGCCTTGTAGCCAGAAGGTCCTGGGTTAGAATCCCGGTGGGTGCGTACTGATGAAGAGTCGCAAACTAGGACGAAACAGGTGTCCAGTACTCCCAGGTTTTCCAATGGTTCTCTAACTAATGTCAGCTTATGATGAAATACCTATGCATATCTTAGAGAACATACTGGATAGGAAATTTTCACAGCCATTAGAGAATACAGTCGTGAATATGGACCGATGAAGAGTTCAATGCAAAAGTTATGTATAACTTCTTAGTTCACAATGGTTGTTACATGGATCGTTTAGTTATAAAAAAACGAAGGATTATCGATGTGCTGACTGGATGATTACTTGAGGGTCCTGGTATAATCCATTCTGGAACAATCAGTATGTACCATTAAGTTCAGAAATGGAATAAAAGAGCAGTGGAATGCACCACGGTTTTGAATACCAACCCAACTCATGGGAGTTTGTGACAGAAGTCATATGCAGGTCAATATACTTCCGAAAATCATTAGAGTGAAGAAGAAAAGTAACAAATAAGGGCTGCCGTAATTAGTCTTCTCAATGAACGTGAACAGTGGTGGGCGACAAAAGCGAAAGAGATGGAAAAGGCATCGGCGATTAGTAACACCAGACAGCTATTTAGGCTTATCAGGGAAACAGGTGGTAAAAGGTGAATGATAAATGAAACAATCTCAGAGTTTTAGCTCCCACGATAGACGACTGAAACGCCGGAAAGAACACTTTGAGGAGCAATTCGACTGGCCTACAGCCACCTCCAACTTACCCAGCATCCAACACATATCTAAATGGGATATTAACACAGTCCTCCGTCCCTAACCCTAACTGAAGTTATAAAAGCTGTCTCTAGTCTGAAACGAGGCAAGGCAGAGGGACCTGATGGAATGACTCCAGAAGTGTTTAAGGATGGTGGAGACAGCATACTACCTGCGTTGACTAAGATATTAAGCAACGTCTGGGAATCAGATATAGTCTCGTTGGGCTGGCGTAAGTCATTGATTATCCCGATTTACAAAAACGGAGACAGGTCTTCCTGTAATAATCACAGGGGGATTAGTTTGACTAATATGGTGGTGGTATCTTAAGTTCTAGGCTGAATAATTATGGGTAGACTAAGTGGTGTTCAGGAAGCACAAATACGAGAGAATCAGGCAGGCTTTAGATCAGGAAGAGGGTGTATTGATCATATCTTCACCCTTCGAGAAATTCTGGAACACAGGTGGGATATTTACCGGCCTCCAAGAATTGACATATTTCTTCGCCTGAAAGTGACATTCGATTCTGTCGACCGAGATGTACTAGGGCAGTGTTTGGCTGTGAAGGGAATGACGAGAAAATACATTGGACTGATCAAGGAACTCAACTTGGACTCATGCAGCTAGTCAGGTGAGAGCCTATGGATAGTTGTCATCTGAAGTGGAGATTGTCGCTCCTTCTGGAACACGTGTGTAGATACCGATCACGCACTGGTCCGGGCTCGTGTGTGCTTACGACTGAACGGACGTAGGAAACAGCTGGCGGTAAAACCATCACGTCCCCAGCTCGATCAGGAAACTAAATCCCTATTTGAGGAAGAACTAGCTAAACGCATATCTGAATTCGACAGCTGTGCTCACCCTGGAGAAGCCTGGAAGAATATTCAGTCAGCTATAGATACAGCTGTAAAAGCTGTGAATAAGGCAAATCCAAAGGTGAGTAAAAACCACTGGATTTCGACTGCCTCATCCGAACTGATAGATGCTAGAAGACTTATTCCGGCGAGCTCCGAATTCAATGAGGAGCGAAAGCTGCACAAAAGGAAACTTACTAAAAGTCTCCGCAAGGACCGTGAACAGTGGTGGGTGACAAAGGCGAAAGAGATGGAAAAAGCATCGGCGATAGGCAACACTAGGCAACTCTTTAGACTCATCACAGAATCGGGTGGGAGAAGGCAATTCATAAGTGAGACTATTTCTGAGAAAAATGGCTCCTTAATTAGCTCTCAGGATAGACGCCTTGAACGCTGGAAAGAACACTTTGAGGAACAATTTAACTTGCCTACAGCCACACTGAACCTCCCCGCCATCCACCACGTACCCGAATGGGATATAGACACTGGTCCGCCGTCTGTAGGTGAGGTTACAAAAGCTATCAGTAATTTGAAACGAGGCAAAGCGGCAGGACCCGACGGAATTATTCCGGAGGTGTTTAAATATGGGGGTGACATACTAGTTTGTAGATTAACTGAGGTACTAGGCAAAGTCTGGGAATCAGAGACAGTACCATCAGACTGGGGTAAGTCACTTATTATACCGATATTCAAGAAGGGAAACAAGTCCTCGTGTGATAATCATAGGGGGATCAGCCTAACGAACATAGTCTCTAAAATCCTAGGCTCAGTAATCATGCATAGACTAAGCAGAACTCGGGAGGAACAGACAAGGGAAAATCAAGCAGGCTTTAGACCAGGTAGAGGGTGCATAGATCATATCTTCACTCTTCGACAGATTCTAGAACATAGACACACTTTTCGGCGTCCAACAATTGTCATATTTCTTGACTTGAAGGCGGCCTTCGACTCCGTGGATCGAAAGGTACTATGGCAATGTCTGACTGTGAAGGGAGTGCCAAGAAAGTACATTGCACTAATCAAGGCACTCTATTCAAACTCACGTAGTCGTGTAAGGGCTTATGGGGAATTGTCATCTGAATTGGTAACAACCAGTGGTGTCCGACAGGGATGTCCACTTTCCCCATTTCTGTTTAACTTCATCATAGATATGCTAATGGAAGTATCCTTAACTGAACGTAGTGACTTAGGAATCGACTTGTTACCAGGGAATAATCTTATGGACTTAGAATATGCAGATGACATAGTCCTGTTAGGGGAGGATGCTGACAAAATGCAGAGTCTTCTGAACACCTTGAGCAGCAATCTTCGTATGTTTGGCATGCGATTCGCCCCTGCAAAATGTAAGATGCTGCTACAGGACTGGACGACGTCAACCCCTAACTTAGTGATAGGGAGTGAAGTGATAGAACATGTTGACCACTTCACCTACTTGGGAAGTTGTATTAGCACCAACGGACTGATTGGCGATGAAATCTCAGCACGGATCCGAAAAGCTCGAGCTGCTTTCGCTGACTTACACCATCTCTGGCGTAGGCGTGACATCCGGTTATCAACCAAGGGACGTGTGTACTGCTCATCAGTTCGCTCCGTCCTTCTCTATGGCTCTGAAACATGGCCAATACGCGTTGAAGACATGAAAAGGTTGACTGCTTTCGATCATAGATGTCTGCGATCTCTGTCTCACGTTAGGTGGTTTCACAAGATAAGTAATGTTGACGTTAGGCGTAGAGTGTTGGGCAAAGAGGGAAAATCAATCGACGAGGCTATAAAGTTACATAGACTAAGATGGCTAGGTCACGTGCTGCGCATGCCTAACCACCGCCTCCCCCGACGGGCATTACTAGCTGATATAGGTTAAGGTTGGAAAAGAGCCAGTGGTGGCCAAACAAAAACATGGCATCAATCCATGAAATCCTTGACAGTTAAACTGAGTCAGGTAGGGAGATGCAGACTCCCGGGTTGGGGCCCTCGGGACTCTAGGAATCAATGGCTGGAGACAATAGGTGACATGGCTCAAAATCGTTGTCAATGGCGCAGATGTATTCAGTCTCTGTAATCTTTCATATTCCTTTCTACCATTACCCATTCTGTTTCACTCTTATACTTGTCAAACTCTATTAATTCTCTCCACTCATCTTCTTGTCTACCTCTGTGTGCTATTTGGAACGTGGCAACTCGAACTGCTGCACTTCGGTGCCAAGTTCTATGTTGAATCCAGACAGACAGACAGAAGTGGTGACAACTAGTGGTGTCCGTCAGGGATTCCCACTGTCCCCGTTTCTATTCAATTTCATCAAGCTGAAATAGGACATAGAGCTAGTGGTGGTCAAACCAAAGCATGGCTTCATCACTCAACCAAATCCATAACAGTTAGTTTAAGCCAGCCTGTTAAGTAGGAAGGTGAAGACCGGCTGTCTGATTGGGGCCCTCAGGATGGTAAGAACCGATGAGGGCTGGAGACAACTGTTGACACAGCTCCAAATTGTTCTCAATGGCTGGCTGGCAGAGATGCATTCATCCGTCGTGATTTGTCATATTCCATAAGACTCTATTGTCCTTACATATTATTATTTCTTTTCACCTCACACTTCTGTTTATTATCTCTCTTTACTGTCTTCTCTTGCTTTGTGTGCTACATGGAAGGCGAGTGATAACCCGAACCGCTGCGCGTGTGTGCAAAGTCTAGTGTTGAAACCCGTCAGTCACAATTGATATGGTTATGAACAACTATATGTGAAATATTTATTTTATTTATTTTTTTTACAGCTTGATTTCACACCGTATTTTTGGTACAGGAATGTAATTTTCAGCGTGGATATCGGTAGCCCAAATTTTGCAGGCCGACCATAGATATCAGGTGTGCACCGGCGTGGGCTCGAACCCTGCACCATGTGCATGGTCAGCGAGAGTCCTAGCCACTGTGCCACCGACGCACAATGAATAGCATTTTTACTGTGTAATACACCAAATAATAAAGTAACTAATATGGTTACTACAATTTTTCTGCACATTATTGCGATGACAAAATATTTTGACTTCCACAGGGCTGTGAACAGATGCATGATAACACCCTAAGGTTCATAAATATATTGTGGATTCATGCACTTAACACGATGAATAATCTTGTAAATGTCTTTTCTCTATCAATCAATGGAAAAATAGAAAAATGGAAGTTTGGAACCTCACAGAAGAGTATATTGATTTACAGTGCAAAAATAGCTCATTATAAACAGAACGAATTCAGTAGTTTTAGTTCAAGAGACAATTACTGTTAATTAGTTCACATTAATAACCAGTAGTGGCAAAAATATTGTGGCACATACCTTTTAATTTGTAAGAAACGTTTTTTTCACAACAACAAATTAAGAAGCATATAAGAAACTTAACGCTTCAGAACAGGTAGTCAATGTTTTCTTAGAAAGACGTAACTGTATAGGCTCAATCCAAAGATCTAATCATTTGTAGTGGAACTCACTACTCTCGATTTTTTCATCAGACTGTTAAGGCAATGCCTATAAACTTGCTGAACACCGTGTTTATTTCAGTTATTTATTTGTTAATGGTCAGTATATATACACGTAACAAAAATGCCTAATGTCACTCAACAATCACTTGCATTTAAATGCAGTTGGAGATGGACTATTCCTATTGTTGACACCATCTAATTGCCAAAAACCTCGATAGATAAGGCAGGGTTTGATCACATGACTGAAAGCTTAATGACAGCAACAAACAGTTACCCGTGTAAAAAAAAACATAAATCAGCTGTTCAAAAGAAATAAATTTAGTTTAATAAAGGCGTATATACAAATAAATGCTAATTAGAAAGACACTAAATCTCACCTCAGAGCTGGAACAAAACTTTTGTCAGTGAAATCGAATTGATCTACATAAGCATACATAACACGCAAGTTGTACGGTTCATTTTCACCAAGAAAATCACCCACACGTGATTTTGATAAACGTTCTTCAGTTAAAAGAAATTGTGCTACTGACTCAATGGACTCTCCAATCAATCCATTCTCTTGAAGCAATCTTATACAACGCAATGACTGATTTTGATTGAATAATGCTATTCCAGATTCATAGATTTCTTTTTTCGCCTTACGAGATTCAAATGCCTCCGGATCATCACATGGTTTATTTACACCTAGTTTCACAATATGAAAGTAAATGCAGGGATTAAGCTTTATTACTTTGATAATATTAAAGGAAAAGTCAAAAGATGTGGTTACAAATCAGATACAATTTGTTATCCGAGACCACTAGTAAATAAAATATAAGTACATCACAGATTCTAAACAAATAAAGTGATGGTCATAAGTTCTGAGTATACTACAGTAATAGACGTTAAAGCATTACAGTGACATGTGAACGAAAAGTAAACATCTTAAACTGAGAGAAACCGTGCAGAGCAGGTAAATGATACATGCTTTTTACACTTATTCAAACACAGAAACAATAAAACACACACACTATGTGGAAAAGAAGTACAATGCTTGAGGAACAGGAACATGAAAACAAACAGATTAGGGGATATTCATCACTTCAAGTTACTTTCAAAAAGAGAGAAAAGGAAGAAATTGCAGCATGTTAGCTAATGATCACCAATGCCAGCCATATCTGGTGATGATGCCTGAGACACTTATTCGATCTGTCTCCCGGAATCCACCCAGCTACTCGTGATTTACCAACAGATGCTATCTCAATACAATCATTCATCTTGTGGCGACACCTCATGAAGTAACTACCTCTTCATTTTCACCACTCAATCACAGGGCTAGCAAACAGTGAACAATATGAGGGCCGCTGGGACAGTATGTTAAAGCGACTGAAGTTAGTGTCTCTCAGAAGCACTTATATGATGATCCGATCGGATGCCAGCAATAACTGAACATGCGGAGTCGCCGAACATCCAGAGATCACAGGGGCCAGGTTCCACAGGTGCAGAGCAAGATTGTTTTGACCGGAGCATTGTAAATCCAACCATTGGCGGCCAGACTATCGTTGCAATAGTGCCAGAGGTGACCCAGGCTGATGTATGCTATCCTATTTCTCACTGTGTTGTTGAAGATTCTACTCGTCTCACCACCGCTACGCACATTCTTCAACGTTATCTCCAGAACGTCATCGACGACCAATTTTGATATAGAGACCAGGCAATCATATTTAAATCCATTGTTGGTTGAAAACAGTGGCGATAACTGTTTACATGACCTCACTTTACTGTATTAGGCTTGTAGGATGTTAGCGAAATCCTCAGGTACAATTCTCATTGACAGATAATTCCAAAGAATAGCCCTGACAACGAATCGGAGACGACCTGATGTCAAGAAATACAATGATCTTTGATCTGCAATAAGTGTGACGATGTTTTAACAACCAAAGAAGATGGAGACGTGATCAATGCACCTACGACCTGAACAACACCTAACTTGCTCTTCGCGAATCGACTTCTAAAACGTTCGAAACGTCTGCCTGAAAGGTAAGGCAGAAGAAGTTGATAACAGATAAATGCCCTAGTGACCGTCCCATACATTACGAACAATAAGGTCAGTTCGCTGACTACAATTTGACCACCATCGTTGAAAAAAAAGTAAAGGGTCCGGTGTCTAGGCCGTGTACCTCATAGAGTTTTAGTGCCTGGAGTTCCTCTTCCTCTTCGTTAGAATAATCGGTATTAATTGATCACGGAGCACTTTGATTAAAAATGTTGCATATTGGAGATAAACTTTATCGAAGTGCTTCACCTAAATTTCCAGGAATCTCCTTAGTTTTTTAATCAGCCTACTAATTATCTCATGCACAATTCGGACTTGCGGATATAGAAAATACTCACAACATTTCACTAGGGTCTTGAATGCGGGTCTCTGGGGTGAGGTATTTATCAACAGTTTTTCACGTTCTTCGCTAGGCTTACCTGATACCTCAGTTGCAACAATGTGTAAACGATGTGAGTGACATTAATATATGTGTAAAACTTGGGCACTGTGGTAGTAAGTAGTTCCATGTTAGTTTATTTATTAGATGTATCACACAGTAAAACAGTAGTATTTACTGGATGAGTGGCAAGGTTGAATGTTGCCCCCAGCTTCAGAGTAGCTTTCTGAAGATAACCAACAACTCGAAATTCAACACATACACTGAGATTACAAACCAACAAATAGCCGAAGAAAGTAAAGGTACTAAAGAACACGATGATAAAAATAAAACCAAATGATTTATAGATGAGGATAAAAGTGCAGCGATAGTGGATGAAACGGCTAAATGTACCATTGATGAAGTCATTTACGTGTATATGATTTTTGTGAGCGCTAAGATACTGTCTAAACCACAGTTAATAGACCACTGCCTGAGGTAGTGACTCAGGACACGTAAGGTACTAATAATCATCGGAACAAACTATTTGAGAGAACATGGTGAAGGCTAACAATCAAAAATCACACATTAAACGTTATGAATTGAAATATATTCCATGGAGATTAGTTACAAACATTTTTTGATACGCTGACCTACTATTTTACCCTTGCATTTTCTCGATTTCTATGCAGTTAATTCTATCTTTAAACAGTGCATTGAGATGAAGCACATTTGAAATGCCCGAACAATAGTGTAGCGCGATTTAATAAATTTAATCGACCTTATGCATAAGGATATTTCAATCGGAAATAAACTAAAGTAACAGGCGAAAAGTTACGACAACCTATTTTTGTACCACATAATGCAACTCACCAACATTTGACATATTTTTGCCTAGCTTACATGTATATCGTTATTGTTTTAGTGAAACCCCATGTAAGAGATTTAACGATTACCACCGACACCGTATGTTCGATCACTGGTGTCTCTGTAGGATAACTCACATCCAATAAAAACGCCATATGAAAAATTTCCAAAACTGACTGACGCAATGAACGGAGTTATGCTTTAAGTAATAGTACTCCGAAATAATAGATTCAGAGGTTTTATTATCTGCTGTATGAATTTAAATATCAAAGAACTCTATATGCATTTGCGATTTGACAATCGAATTGATCAAATAAACACTATTATTCCAATTCCTAACTGGTACCCGTTAATACTTCAAGTCAACGAAACTCCATGACTAGCAGCAGTACCTTAATGTAAAAACGCAAACTACGTAAACATTGGTCTGCGCGAGGTTAGAGTATTATGAACTATCAAAAAAGTGGCACATAAAACATTACTCACCCAATAGATGCATATTAGGATTGGGGTCCAAGTTGGGATTTTCTACTGAATTAATACTGTTTCCACTGTTTGCTAACACTGTTGGTTCGGAACCCAAAAACGATTGAGATTCTGGATTGACGTACAACTCCTGCGACCATTCGGTCATGCAGCGTAAAATTAGTACAAGACACTCTAAACCACTCGACCGCAAAACTTGTTGCTGTTGTAATTGACTAGATGATGACGCATTATGATTACCATATTCTGTCGTAACATGACGTCCTTGAGCTATTTTAGCAAGATTAGTCGTCAATCTTTCAAATATATTGACCATGCTTAGATCACAATCATAGTTAAGGTAAATATCAACTAAGCATTGCGCATCACCACATATACGCTTTAGTGCATCTATAACAACTAGCTTGTGTCCATATGATGATTTTGGTGATTCTAGGATTAGTAGGAGCACATCTTTGAAGAACACTTCAATTTGACGTTTTAAATGTGGCTTAAAATACGTCAGCAGGGCAAGAAAAATAGCAACAGACAACTCAAATACTTCTACAATTGGTGAAGTGCCGTTTTTAAACAAAGCTACACACAAGTATTGTTTAATAGCAGCTATAAATATTTCACTAGTTGAAAACAATGGGCCAGGTTGTTGTAGTAAACTCAGTAGTAGCTGTAGTGATAAGGATTTCGAACGGACCGCATGCGATTTTGCATCACTTGAATCAGAGCCAGTAAAATCTTTCACCGCTAGACGACACAAACTACGAAAAACAAGAAATGCATCTTTTTGTGTGATATGCGCTGAATTGACAACCTCGGAGTTACTTTCCATTATCGATACACCATTAGGATCTTTTGAATCCGCCTCAGTTGCAATAACGTCAGCGCCGACTGGAGTAACACCAGTTGGCCATTCTTGGTTTATGCTTGTATTGATAGATACTGAAAGAGACGAAGAAGAAGAACGAGACAGAGAAGGTACAGAGGACTTCCTTATATCAGGTAGGGACTCGGAATTCGGTAAATGAACTGATGTTGTTGTTGAAGAATCCTTATCATCACCCTCATCATTATCTAACATAACTTTTTCTATTATTTCTTCTAGAATATCCGCGACAATTTTACACACTTCTGATTTGGAAGTATTGTCTTTTCTTTTCATAGGTATATCAGCATCATCATCGTCACCAGCAGAAGGAAGAGAAACGCAACTGTCCGCGTAGGCATCACCGTTCAATAATTTCTCGCCATTTTGTCCTTCCTCCTACACATTTTAGGATAAATATATGACAGATAAATATTAATACATTTAAGGTAGTGAATACTCTTATTTTAGCATTATTCATTTGGAAAATTGTGAAATACGCGGCATAAAGTTACGCAAATTTATGAACAAGAGGAGGCAACCGTCAAAAATAGTGAGATTACGGCACAGAAATGAAGCCGCGTTGAGCCAAAATATTTGCCCCTTCGACTGATGAATAGTTTAACTTTCTTTCGTATGTATGAAAAGACCAAATACACTATAATTTTTTGTGCATTCAGTGTTTAACTGAAATGAATGTTTTCGCTTTGTAACTTTTCTGGTTACTCTGCTTATATGTGTAAATCATTTTTACTCCACCACATGTTATAGATTGATTATTTATTGCATTTTGTAATCACTTTCAGAAATAGCAGACAATATATATACAAAACATTTTCTGCGTTATTTCGGAAAATCAATAGAATGTTACGGATGGCAGCGTATTCCAGTAACTGAAATCTAGTTATTGTGACGAAGATTGATTCCTTACCTAACTGCATTTAAGGCGTGGTGATAAATAAAAGTGGACAAGAATTTCAAACTAAAGAGTTCTTGAGGATTGCTTCAACACATCTCAAACTGAGCATATTCATATACTTCTTTGTTTAGTAATCAAACTTCATGCATTATTGGATGCACCTAATCAGCGCTTGATACATTGTATCACTCACTTTTAACAGCCAATTAGTACGGTGCATAACTATCACTATCCGGTCACATAACACTAAGTGGAGGGAGGGGCAGATTGATGGTAGCAGCAATTTTCTTGAAAAAGGAGGCTTACTTTTTGAAAACTCACATTATTTTCAGATATTTGTGGTAAACTTTTTGTAGATAACTCTTCACCATTTTTGAGATTATCAGTAGAATTCAAATCAGATGGGATGCAAACATTTGAACTCATTGCAACTGCAGCTTCAAATGCATTTTGTTCCATCCGCTGAAATAATACACTAATTATCTGGGTGAGAGTTGCACGTGCTGTTGCTTGATTAATTGGATTTTTCGTTGCCATAAAAATATTATAGCAAGTTCTTACAACCAGAAGGATATCAGCCTCATGAATTTCTACGACTGAACTCGTTATTACTGTTAAAAGTGCTTTCAAAATTTGCAACTGAATCCCATCATCTGTTTGTACACCCTTTATGAGATGGAGAGAAAGTATTTTTGTAAAGTATTGTAGCCAGTTTGCATGAATAACTAAAATAATATTGAACAACTTTACATACAAGTCAAAAGTTGTATACCTTCCAATAAATTGGTGTGAACCACACACCTATTGTGTGAGAAGTAGAATTTGTTATTCTACAGTTAGCTTATTTGTTTGGGTCACTGGAATAAAGCTTGATAAATTAAAAAGAAACAATACGAATTATAGAGAGAATAGGAATTTATCACCTCTAATATTTATGTACATTAAAGAAATTTACCTGAAACTAGATGATTTACTTCTTAAAGGCATTTCTCAACAGGTTAATTAATCTAATTATTTAATGTATTTTAAATTCGTTAAATATTCAGAATCATCAAAATAGTGTTATCAACTGGGATCCAGTCGAGAAGAGTGTTTCCTGACGTTTGATTTTATGCTGTGCACTCATATGTATAACGCCATATGAACTGTGTGTTGAGGCCAAGCACACCTGAATGGTGAATCTTATAGACTTCCTACACTCATGTGGTGTAGAAACACAGTATATAACTACGATCAGTGTTGACAAACAGACTTAAAATATGAACTGTTTCGACAGAAATTTCAAGAAATCAAAGAAACTTTTGTACGGTCTTTAGTAGTAGGCAGGGTTTATATTGGTGACATAAAGTGAAGACAGTGGATATGGAATGGTAAAAAGAGACAAAGGAAATCCACGGAATATTAATAAAGACGTGATCGCTAAAAATATCTAAGTTTTACTAGAAATCAGAGATTAGTCCTTCTGGAGAAAATGGATGAATTGGTTGATATTGATAGCCTTACCTAAGAATTGTATGCTTAGTCTTCGTTATATGTGACTTAAATTTTAGAGCTAGGCTTGCAATATGAAAATTATCCACTTGTATCAAGATTCTATGGAAGTAGGGGAAGATATTATGTTTAAAATTAACTTTTCCTAGTCCCCAACGTTCTTCAAAAACACTTTAAGTTCACTTTCGAATACTTATTGACATTTTCTATGAAATAAAATACAATTATAAGTTGACTCAATGGTATCCAATAAATCCCTTTTGTCTTGATTGTTGTCATCGAATTATTCTATCAGATGTGAAACGTTGCCTTTAGGCTAGGTGATGAGAGATTGTGATAACATCAGTGAAGTAATACCAGAACGCTTAAAGAATGCAGTAAGAAGGATATTCATTGCAACGGAAGTACACTGTCTCGCCACAACAACTCCAATTTTACGTTCGGAAAGTAAGAATAAAGTATCTGATTTCGCCTCATATATATATATATATATATATATATATATATATATATATATATGTATATTTACCGGTTTGGCCGCTCTTCTAGACCTAGTTACACTGGGCATATTCATCATTAGATTTCTGATCATCCCTCATGGTTGGGTAAGAAACAAACAATATCTCACTTTGTAGGTACTGAGCATCAAGTCGACGTTAACAAGACATTTAAGGTTATCTGCAGTATTCCAACTAATATTAATTTTGCTTGACGAGTTCGGTTTTTACACATAGCTGAGGCCGTCGGAGTCTACCTGAAGAAGCCCAACTTAGGTCTTCAGAAGTTTGTACAGATGTTTTCTTACCTTAATCATCGTTACTTGATTGTAAAACTATAATAATTTCTCCGTCTTCTGAAAATTTTACAAGCTACTATTTTAACTAGCTGTAAATGTCCCATGAATTTTCTTCTTAATTTTATCCGATAGTAAATTTAGTATTGTACTTTTATGCATTTTAACAATTACACATGTTTATGAATTGTGATACTAATTATCTTAACAACTCAGTATTATTTAAAAGACATCAACGCTGCCGATAAAAATTAACCTTTAAATATCATGTATAAATAACAGTAGAGCTAGGTGATGAAGTTACCGAAAAGAATATTATTTGTGCAATTTGTTTATCTTCTAAATGTTTAAATGAGAATTTCCGCAGCACTAAAGGATGAATCTAATCTACATGAAGCCCTGGAACTGGTTCCGTGTTAAGTGGTATTCTTATCAGCAAGATGAATCTGCAATCCACGTGAAAAACGCGTCTCCCACAGATTCGGACCTGTGTCTCTCAGTGTTGAAGTCGGTGATTCTTCTCAGAGTTTAACATCTGATTAAAGTGTAACATAGTGTGCATCAGTCTCAAGTTACTTAGATTAGTGGCCACACCATACACTTAGTTGGCATATTCTCACCTATTTGTATATATTAGTCAATCTGGCAGTCAATTGTAACCCGAGTAGCTTAGTCATAAATCTACTGGCTTCAAAAATTACTGACACAATGAGAATATCGGAGACTACACGACATCCCTGACACACTTTGCAGATGAGTGGCAACTTATGGCCTTCTGGCCAGCTCACCCTACTCAAAGGAATGCACGATCACAAGCGTTTCGCAACAATTACTAATTAGGAATGCCCAAGAACCACGCTACTGATAAATATAAGCGAGCAAAGAAAGATGTGGTAGGCGCGTAGTATATTAAAATATCTTAAGGAAGCTATTTTTTCAGAGACAATAAAAAATAGAGATTTTTACTCACTTGAAAACATGAACAAATTGTTGTTACAACCTGTTCAATTATGCGAACTTTTCCAGAGGAGCAAACAGCTGTGTTTGAAATATGTCCATAAGCAATTAACTTTTGTAATGAATCAATTGCCGTGCTGACAATTTTTGGTGATTTCATTGTGCAAGCCAACTGGAAAGGGCGGAGAAGTCGCTCATCACTTAACAATATACCACAGTCTGACTTGAGAGGAGGCAAATGCGTACTAGACTCATTCGGTGGAGACAACTTGTTGTTCCCTAACACCTGTGGTTGATCTTTTAGTAATACAAGGGCTTCTTCACAGGCCTTTTTGACAGCTGAATTGTGAGATTTACGGGTTTCCCGTTCATTAGCTATTTTTTCAATAGATCTGACCAGGAACATATTAAAGGCCTGTGTTGATATTGAAAACTGGGGCTGGGGTACTTGAGTTGTGTTTTCGGGTTCAGGAGTAGAACTAGTAGCAGGTTGCTTATTTTGTGTATAATTTCTCAGAGAATTGGATTTATCCAGTTTGTAATTTTGTTCGTCTGGATTTCTTGATGAAACAGAGGAAATCGCCAGCATCTCATTTAACTGTCACCGAGACCTCAGTGTTTAGCTTGAACATTTAGCCATTTAATATTAAAAGAAAAACTGTACAATTTCCAAAAATCCTAAATGAAAATGAAAAAAGAACGAAATAAAGCAAAATTCAGATAAATCAGAATAATAAAACGGACTTAACACCCAGGCAAAATTCAACTACCAGTAGGTCCACCAACTAGCCAATGAATTATACCTACGCTATCTTAATATCGGATAATTGATTATAAAGGCCATAGTAGATACTTTGGGCACACACCCCAATGGCTGAATGTCGATTATCTAAATCACCAACTTGAAGTGTTGTATGGCTAAATATGTCACAGGAAACGCTAAATTTGAAATCAGTATCATTTGCCTCCCCTGATATAGACATATGAAAGTAAAAAATAATACTTCCTCTACACTATCAACCATGAGTATTATGTGAAGGTAGATCATAATACGTGGACACTGAAGTCTTGATGCATGAAGTTGGAAGTAAAAGTGGATTGGTTAAACTTGAAAGGCCAAACTTCAATAAATGTAATGATGTTTCAATTATTAAATAGAAACATTTTGATACAATAGGAACCCGATAAAGAAACTTCTATTTAACCTCCTAGTAGAATGGCTTTCCCTCCTAAGGTTAATGAAGTGTATGACAGAATGGCTAATCCAAAAACCAAATCTGAAAAATCCATTTATTTGCTGAACTTATTTGCCGGAATACTTCTTTCAAGTTCCAAGCTATGCACCACACTTACTGTGTAAGGCCTGGTGATACTACCCATTTGCAAGGGCTCAGGTGGGCAGCGCAGGGCTCGAGCAAGTCGAGCATTAAAGCCAGTGAGCCCTTTCCAAATAATTCCGTATTTAATAACCTATTATCCCGACTGATTCTAACATACGTATAGCTTTCCAGAGCTAATCTTTATTGCATCCTAATTAAATTACCGCTAGAACCGCTTTACTAACCAAACAAGACATAAAATGACCCACAAAAATACTATAATTTGCAAAATTATCTCCTAAATCAATAGTAATCATGACAGAAAGGATCCTAAGTGTCCACTGCCGTGGAGAAACGACCCAGCTAAACTTAACATATCCATGTAACCTCACATATGAAGATAAGTTTGAGTAAAGAAAAAGAAATGAAGATTGAGAATACCGACAAAATGTTTAGAGCGAAAGCGATTTTAACTGCTTGAAATATTGAGCACCGAGTTGTTATCACTCAATTTTATAATGGTTCAACAAGGATTGTAACTAATTAGATAATTGGATGCATAAGTCTAATATTATATCCACTTTATTACGTATGCCAAGCCATCGCCTCCCTCAACGAGCAATGTTAGCGGATATAGGGTCAGGCTGGAAAAAAGCTAGCGGCGGTCAAACAAAAACTTGGCATCAGTCAATGAAATCCACAACAGTTGGTCTTAGCCACGTAGGAAGGTGTAGACTTCCAGGCTGGGGTCCTCGGGACGGCAAAAATCTATGGTTGGAAACAGTTGGTGACATGGCTCAAAGTGATCGTTCTCAATGCAAAGCGAAGATGCATCCACTCCTTGTGACTTATGATCTCCAATGAAACTATATGGTTCTTCGTTATTAATCCTCCTTTGTCTCACACCTCTGCTCACTGTTTCTATTATGCTTTTCTTGTACTTTCTTCTCTTGCTTCGCGTGCTACACGGAATGTGGCGACTTGAACTTCCGCACATTTGTGCAAAGTTCTATGTCGAAAACAGACAGACAGACTTTATTGCAACAGTGAATTACTTTATGGATTATTACCATGTTTTCATCTGATTGACCCTAAGTGTTCCACTCCACTCCTAATTCATTGAATATCAATCATCAACAATGACGGTGGCTGGAGTAATTCATTTTCAGCCAATTCAATAGACGGAGCTGCACAGTGTCATCAATCTACTTTCTCTCTTTATCTAACACTCTACTGACCATATTGATCTACCTACTACGGTGAGTGAACGCAGGTATCTGCCGTGAAAAGCTAATATTTTCACGTTATATGTCTAATGATCATATCTCACAGTTGTCAAGTACGACTAAACGAAGTGCTACACACTAAACACACCCGTACCAAGGATGACATTAACGGACGGTAAGCCAGCCTAATACATCCATGCTAAGATTTCTCCAGCAGTTCAGTCCATTAGGGCCGATGCAGATTCCCCTTCCCAATCAGTGAGGTGTTCAATATGACAGTTTCATGACCTACCCTTGAACTAGCAGTCGGTGAAGACAAGTCCTGAAACATTTCACATATGATTGGGTCAAATTGCATGACGAACACGCTCCAACTTTGGTTCAAAGTTCTCAAAAGACTGCATTTCACCAATGTGTACACTTAAAAGAGATTTATTATCTCCGTACTTTAGATCTACGAAACTTCCTTTCATGGTTAGTAAATCCCCGGGTCATCGAAATCGAACAGACTTAAGTCCATTAGAACACTCATATTGAAATGGAACCAGAATGGTAACTGACTATCCCTGACACCACTACAGATGACAACACTCAACAGGTTGCGTAAGTTCGATTTGAGTGCAACGACCATTACAGTTTTATTTCTTGATACCCTATTCACAATATCTTCCCATAGCACCTCTCGATTGACGTAACCATATTTTGCTTTCAGGTCCAGAAATATGAAAACCTCTGGATTCTTCAAAGTTCTTATGGAAAGGTGGTGACGGTTAGCTAAAAAGCTACAAGGTGCCAAAATTTGCGGCTATATTTGTCTACGTCTTCAACAAGAATTCCCTGTAAGCATTTGGCTTTTTAGACTACCAAAAACTGCTGATTATGCTGTGAACATCGTAGGAAGAGAGAAACCTTTTAACAACCCCAGTCTTCTCCTAAAGGTATTGAGAATATGGCCACTGCCTGAGGGGAGTGGCTTTTGTCTCAGTTCACTCTATGGGGTCAAGACAGTTTGCAGTGAGACAGATAACAGTAAAACTGATGACTTTCTTGGACAAGAAAATTGCTCCAAATATAAACAATACGCCGAGTATATTATGATCGATCAATGTAGACAAAACTTCTATGGACAAATCCCATGAGCTTTGCTAAGATAGAGTGAACCTGCTGGGCGCAGAGCTGATAAGCTGAACACTTCCTGGGAACTACTGGTTAGAAAGCATGGGGTGTTGATCAGGAAGATTACGTCTATCATACTGTTTCTTGTTGTAGCTACCAACTGCATGTGTCCGTCAAGTAATTCGATAGCCACAATACACGAAAGATACGCAACCGTATCTATAGAAAAGTAGATAACACAAACATATTACTCGTAATTTTCTCCATCCATTTTGAAATTGACTTCGGAAGAAATTTTTGCCACTAGTTTGACTAAGCTATGAGAATCTGAACACCACTTGTAACTTGTTGAACCATAGCTTTTAGACCCACTCTTGAGAACTTTCAAGACATTGTCATATGACCGACAAGAAAAATGAGATCGGAACCCAATTCATTACTTAGGACACAAAACAAAACTGCTGCGGAATACACATTTCTCATATGACAAGAATATATTTAAGAGTTAGTTTTCTGGGATTTGAATACGACTATATGCAGTGCCTTGAAGAAATACATAAGACTCCCTGTACTAAACATGAAAGGCCTTCAAGTCGGCTACAAATTGGACCAATAACGGTATTTCGGTCATCGTTTAACCTCGCCTATCTGCAAATATGCTGCAGTTGACTGAGAAAATGCAAACAAATTGGAGAGATGAATAAGTTTTAAAATAATTTAGAAGGTCTGAACTCTCTACAAACTACATCACAACACGTGAACACAATAAAGTCAAAAGCGGTACTACCCTCAACTTACAAATAAGTACCAACGTCAAGCTACGTTTGTAATTTCCGCTATTTACTCTCAATATCCAATGGATATTAGTGCAGACAACAACTCGGTTTCGTCAAGCACTTCTTTTCATTCTTCTCTGCTGATACGGCCATTTATGGTAGATGCTCCTGTTGAATAATCGTATGCGTGAAACTCTAGTGGTATAGCGTCAGATAATTCCCAAACACTATTAACCCAGTGCTTTCAGCATTCAACACTGGGCGCTCAACTTTGCTACATCAGTTAGCCGATTAGACCTAAAGTACGCCTTAGAGCATTCTCTGCATTCAGCACGCTGTAGTGCTGTACCCAGTTTTAAATGCACGTGATCTCTAGTTACCTAGGCAAGCATCCTTGCTCAACTGTAATGACCGCTTAATATACTCCATACTATTCGCGATTTAATTTTTATTCTATTAAATTTTGCTAGCTGTTCTCCGACCTACGGTGAAAAGGTGCACTAGGGGTTGGGGATAAAGTAAATGTATCGTCAGATCGTCCTTGCTTGTTAGAAACTTTGTCTCCTGGATTAGCTACGTGTAAGGAAACGGAAGCATGGCATATTCTGCTCATCTAAATTAAATGGCCAAAGGCAATTGAATGGTAATTTGCATTTCTGCAGACTTAGTTGTGTACAGCATATGAAAATAAAGATGGAGGGAACTTCATACATGAAGCATGCTTGTCAAGAGAATCAACATTTTGTCTGGATGCATATCCCGGCAGTCTAAATCAGTTTTGGCATAGGAAATACTTTATACTTCATGAAATCCCACATCTGCATCTCCGGGGACAATTCTCTTCGTTAGTCTGCACAACTTACAAGTAAGGAAGTCAATGTTGTAATAGTCGTGCAGTTTGTGGTGGCCTGGCTTCTAACACGACTGTTAGTAACAAGTGGTTGTTTGATATTGCGGAATTTGGCTGTGTTAAAATTTATTCCTCCTTATAAGCGGTGTAAGTATAAATAGCTGAGTGCTTTTCAGAATAGCTGCCTTTGATACCAAATGTTTGCAGCAATAAGACTTCTTCCATCATTCTAGACTTCCTCACTGTAATTTTTAGTATGCTATGGGCTTAAGTCGCCAACTACTGGCGTACTTGCTCATTAT